AGATAGATAGATAGATAGATAGATAGATGTACTTTATTTATCCCAAGCTGGGAAATTGCAGTGTGCATGAAGTGTAATTTCTATTCAATTAGGCTTAATTATGTCTTACTAGGACAATATACATTCATCATTTAGGAATTTTACATGTTTTTGCCTTAATTTAAGTTAAAGTTACAGTTTTTTTTAATAAACTCTGAATTAGAACTGATAAATTCAGCTGTAAAAATCTGATTATTTTTTTTATTTGTTTTGAAAAAAACATTTAGTAGATGAAAACTGGGATCCTATCTCAATTCCACTGAAGCTATTACCTTATTGTTTTTAAATAAGAAAAAATATATATATAGATCCAAAGGACCTATCAGTCTGTTCCAGTGCATTTCATCATTAGAATTTCTTTTAGTAGTATGTCTTCAGTACAGGGGTCATAAGAGGGGCCAGGACATCTTCTACAGGGGCACTGGCCCCCTTTTGCCCCTGTCTAGAACCGCCTATGTAGTAAACACTCTATATATTTACATAATTAACTTACCATATCACTTCTAATCATGTAAAATATCTTCCTGCAGTCGCCAGCAAATATGGTGCACAGTATTTGATAAGTGTTTGATTAGTTATTGTGTAAAGAAAGCCATGATACTTATAATTGGGGACCCAACAGATGAAACAGTATATGATATTGGGGTCAAAGGGAAGTTTGGAAATAATCAGTTTGCTTTTGTTTTTCTCTGGGGGGTAAGGGAGTTGGTTGAAGTACAAAAGTCCCTTTTTTCATAGTAATGTGAGAATTCACAAAATATAACTTTGAGAACTAAAATTTAATCATTGTCGAATATTCTAGTCCTAAAGTCTGTCAGGGGCCTATTCATGCATACTTGTGCACACTGCAAAAAATTTTTAAATCTCAGAAAGTCATTTTGTCTTAAAATAAGTGCGTTTTGTCTTGAATTGAGGAGGTAAATGAGACACTTTGCCAATGGAACAAAACAATTCACATTTAAAATAAGAAAAAAACAATTGAAATGTCTTATTTTAAGAACACATCTTATTTTAAGAGTAAAAATACTCATTCCATTGGCAAATCATGATATTTACCTACTCAAAGTAAGGTTAAATACACTTAATTTAAGAATTTATTACTTATTTCTAGATTGTTTTTGCAGTGTGCCAACAGAGTACTTAAAATAATCCTGTTTTGTGCTTTCAAAAATAGAGCCAAGGTTACATCTCGCTTAAATAGTGTTTTACAGAACCTCTTGTGTATGTGCAACTATTCGGATCAGTCTAAGGTTTGTAGATTTTGAATTAAAGACCATAAAATGGAACCGAGTTAGTGTTGACCTTGCGAGAGGTGAAGGGATAGGAGCTATGAACAGAAGGAGAGAGCTATGAATTGAGGTATTCGGAAGGAGCCCTTTTCACAGACATTGAGAAGAGCCAGAGAAATAGAAAGATAGAGCATTCAGTCATAAAAGAAAGCCAAAAAATGAAAGAGAAAAAATTCAGAGAGGAGAAAGATGCAAAGGGAAGATAGTATGTCACCAAATTTAATTGTAAGCAAGGTGTTTCTGTTAGTGGTCCATATAAAAGAAAGTTCTGTAACACTATGTTTTCTATCCCTAACCTTTCCATGGTTTATAAGGTAATTTTTTCCTCAAATTAGCACATATATCTGAAGAAAACTTTTAGAATTTCACTTTTTTCAAGTTATTTATTCAGTGCAGGCAAAGGTTTAACAACCTGCTATGCTAAAAAGAAATGATGCTTGTTCTGAACAGATAATCATGCAACACCAACCACCTGCACAAGTACTGCTTGAGCAAGGAGGTGAGCAACTGTGTGGTGAATTAATCGCTTATAAAAGAAAAAAGAGAAATTCAGTATAAGAAATGGTTCAGAAATTAAAAAGCCTATAGTCTATATTTATCACAGAGTGACTTAAATATTTTAAAAGTATAAAATATTACTGAAATAAATTTTGATTGATAGTTTGGGACTATCACCCCGCTGCTTGGTAGTAGGAGTGTCTAGTGTTCGCAGACTGAGAGACTGCTCCTAGTCCAGTCCGAGAAAAGTTACTTCATCCATCCAGTTTCTTCTGCTTAGACCTGTCAGGGTGGTGCTGGGTGCCTATCTCCGGCAATCAATGGGCGAGGGTACATCCTTGATATGTCACCAGTCTGTTGCAGGGCAACACGGAGACACACAATCATGCACTTACACCTAAGGACAATTTAGAGAAGACAAACCAACAGTCATGTTTTTGGACTGTGGGAGGAAGCTGGAGTACCAGGAGATAACTCACGCATGCACAGGGAGAATATGCAAACTCAATGCAGAAAGACCCAGGGCTAAGAATCAAACCCAGAACCTTCTTTCTGCAAGGTAACAGTGCTACTCACTGCCACACCGTGCAGCCCAGAAAAGTTTATGTTTTCTGGAAATCAAAACATTACCAGTAATGTTAAACCCGGATTGCAATAGGAAGCTATACTCAGGAATGTTGTATCTACGCTGTTCCTTTCTACCTTAAATGTGCTTATTTATTTTCAGTATGAGTCCAAGCTATGGTTTAGCTTTAAATCTTACTTGTGACCCTTTTACATTCAGGTCATACAGAACTATATACCATGTGAAGTCCTGCTATTTTCTGTTTATGTGAGAGCCTGCCTTCTTTTAACATTTGCTGGTGAATTTTTTTATTAAAAATATTAATATTTATTTTGTTATTTTGCATCTAGGTTATTAGATGATAATGTTCAAACTACTGACCTTTTTGATTTTGATATTGTTTTTGCTGAGATCTTATTTATTTATTGTCAAATTATGATGGCAATCTATTTTAAATATTGATTTGTGTGTATTTTTAGGGAATTAATCTGAAGATAATTTTATGTTTATGCATTTCAAGAAAGGAAAGGGGTTTGAATATAGAGTATCAGCCACACAGCAAGTAATTCAATCTAAATGAATTATGTTGTATTTTTAGTTCTTCCTGTACCAAGTAACTGTCGCAATTTTCTTTACACATATACAGGCAATAATTGCTTGATATATAAACCCCTTTAAAAGTTTTCCATCACTTATCGGGGCCCTGTGAGAAATCTTTTCATGTGGCCCAAAACCCTATTTGCTGGTCAGTGTATGCTTAGCATGCTAAAGTAAATAAGTTATCTGTCCCTCTCTCACAATTTCCTTCATAAGTAAGCAAGTAAATGTAAAACAGCAGATGATTAAAGAAATTATGGAATTATGTTTCTTTAATTTTTTGTAATTATATTTATAAAAAAAATACTGCTGTCATGGTTTTGGTTCTGTTTAAGTTTCATCTTTGAGTTTTCATTGGTTTTATTTCCATTTTGTGTTATTCTGGTTATTTTTGATTGTATTTGAGTTCTTAGGTACTTCTTGTTTGCCCTCTTGTGTCTGTCTTCTTTTCCCTAGATTCCTCTGATCACACCTGCTCCCAATCTACTGATTAGCCTGTAGTGTTGCACCAATATCGATACCCATATCGGGCAGGGCACCGATTCAGCACTAAAATTGTGGTATCGGCCAACAAATAGGGCACCGATACCATTTTGAGAGCCAAAAGTTTATTCAACTATTCTCACCCATTCCAGGTAGGCAATAAAAAGTTCTACTGGATTCCCTTTGTATTAGTATTTTTCTTGCTTCACAAAGGTAGGCAGCAGCTTGACAAAGCCATGATGTCATTTATTTTGCATTCAAGTAGTATGCAGTTCTTCATATATACACGCACACATCAATTTCAAACAGATGGTATCGGTATCGGCCGATACTGTACAGCCTGGTATCGGGGCCAAAAAAATGGCAGTAGCGCAACACTATTAGCCTCGTCTTTGTTTCTCTCTCCCATATCTGCACCTCCTGCTTAGTCACTTTTTGCTGGTTTGTCATCATTTCTTCCCCTTCAAGTGAGTTATCTGATTTTCTGTATCATTGGGGATCCGGAGGATTTATGTTTTTGGATCTTTGCTTCTGCTGGATTTTTGGATAAATAAATCTGCAAGAAACCACCTTTAGCTTCAGTCTCTGCATTTGGGTCCTCCCCTCAAACTTCCACCCAACCTGACAAATACTTCCTCTTGTATTTCCGAAGTGTCTAAACTATTTCAAGCTTCAAACATGTTTTCTTGCATGCCTCAAAGTAATAACTTCACACAGAATTTCCCATACAGACAGTACATAGCCTTTAGCAAAACAGACTTCAGTTTAAAGTGTGGGGTTGGATTTGTCAATAACAATTCTCATAAGACGTTCAAGTGTTAGTGGAATAGGTTGAAAGGACAACACTTAAAAAAAGTCATTTGTTGTTTTGTGTTAGTTGTGTTTTATAACATGCTCCTATTTCTATTTTATTTACTACTTTTACGTATTTAACTGAATGTAGAACACTTGGTTTTTGTTGTGTTCAAATGGGTCTTATAGAAAAACAGATTGGATAGACACTAAGGACACTGGTTTAGTACTTTGTATAGACAGTTTAAAAAAAGAAATCATGCACAAAATGAGAAAAGTGTAAGAATATTCAACTATAAATCTTTTAAGGACAAAAAAGTATATATATAAATATATGGCACATTTTTGTCCCAAGACAAACAAAAATATTGACACATGAAATATGTCGGAGAAAATTAATGCCAGAAATGGAATTCGGATTACCATAATCCTGATGGATAAGATCCTTTGATGTGGATTAAAGAATGAGTCAGTGAAGCAGTGTTTATTTATGAAAAGTAGAATATGGATGCCTGAGCGACATCTGCGTTACAGTGATCAACAAGCTTGTCTGTGAGTGCTGTATTGAATTTTAATATTTCTCTCCCCATTATTGTCTCGTATTATTTGGAAAACATGAAAATATTTGCAGTGTTATTGTTGAAATCTGCAAAAACAATTCTGATTATGATTAACGGATATTTTCCTAATTACTCTTTCTTTTTCATTTCAAGACTATTTAGCACTTTGTGAGTCTTCTGATCTCAGATACAAAAATCTCTATCAGTTAGTGGTTTTACTGACATCCAAATGACTAAATCAAGCATTGAAAGATAGAGTTTTTAATGTGATACTCTTTAAATATTCGCTCCTAGCAAATCAAAGCGATTATGAAGTTCTAATAATGCGGTGACAACTACACTTTGAAAAAACAAAATCTTACAGACATGATACATATTTGAAAAATGCTACTAGTGATCTATTTCAGCTACAGACAATGAGACTAAAAAATAAAAATCCACAGATGCCTTATTAGCACAGGATTAAAGCAACTTTTGTTACCAAGCAGATTCAATTATACTATTCACTTATATTGTTCAGCCAGAAAATGTCAGTTCAGTTCGTTTCAGATCAGTCTATTTATATAGTGTCAATTGACAACAGATTTAATATTATGGAAAAATGAGACAAACATGTTAAAGTTTCATGCAGTCATACGAAACAACATTCTAAATGATTTGCAAGTAAGTTTCATTGTCAAAACACCAACAACTCCTTATGTCAGAAGTAGAAATGTACTCCACTGTTCATTTCAACCTGCTTCCTGCATACAGACAAGGGCGACAGTGGCGTTGGATGTAGGAGTTTGCCCTGAAATCGAAGGATTGATGGTTCAAGCCCCTGCTCTGACTTTTGTTGTCATTGTGTCCTTGGGCAAGACACTTCACCTTGTCTACTGATGGTGGTCAGAGGGCCTGGTTGCGCCAGTGTACGGAGCCCCGCTACTGTCAGAGAGCCCCAGGGCAGCTGTGGCTACAATGTAGCCTGCCACCATCAGTGTGTGAGTGTGTGTGTGTGAATGGGTCAATGAATATGGTGTAAAGCCATTTGGCCAGGTATCCTGACTTGAAAAAAGGGTGCTATATAAGTACATTCCATTTACCTCAGAGGACATTGAAGTTATCTATCTTTCATTATGTTTCCCTTTTCAATTTATTTGAAACTCTTTTTGGGGTTATTTCAAATGTAAGTGGCAGAATTGAAAATGAAGGGAGATAAATAAGATGAATAACAAAGATTGAAAGGTGTGATGAAAAGTGAAAAATGAGAAGAATAGAGGAGAGGAAAAAAAAGCAAAATAAAATCCTTGGATTCTGCTTCTACACCTGCAGAGAGTGTAAGAAAAAAAAACATTAAGAGAAAAGAGAAAAGCATCACAGGTACAGACACACAAACAGTTTTACAAAAGAGCATTAACTCAATCATGATGCATTTAGTTCCACCCTTAATAAACTATAGTGTTTATCTGTATGCATGTGTATCTGTAAACACTTGGACCCAAACACCTTTGGATTTATGTGGAAGTGCCTTTGTAATATGTAAAGTTTCTCCATAAAAAAATGTAATGTTAAAAGTGGTTGTGAGGATTTAGGGTTATCACATCTCCTTAATATAAAATATTGAATAACAATGCTAGTCAAAATAGAAATACTAGTTTTTTCCATCAGAATCCTCTCTGGTAATATCTTTACAGGAAGTTTATAGTAAAATATAAACTATATAAAAAGACAGATTGCTTTTTATTTTCTCACAGTCTGATGAAACATTTTATGTATTTTTTTTCTTGATATCAAGGTTATTTGGATAAATTATTCTGAATTCCAGGATCATTAGAAATAAAAATATTTTTTTTCCCCCTAAATCATTAATTCAATCATGCATTTAATCAGAATTGAAATGGTCACCTTTAAAACCTTCAGTTGTGTGAAATGTTTGCTAATAGTTTTCTGGATTTTAGACTCGTTACATAACTGGTGTAACTGAGTCATCTATATTGACTACATTGCTTGCAAACACCTTTTCAGCCCAACCCAGGCAGTTTGTATAGGGCTGTAAACAGGGCTTTTTGAATGTCACTCAAAAACACAAGATTTATTGTCTTTAGCCCAAAGATTTTTAGTTGTGTCATTTTCCATTTGGAAGACCAGTTTCTACTGAAGATTTACCTTCTGCCTGATATCTTAGGACATTTTCTCAAAATTTTCAGGTGATCTCATGATTTAATCTTTTTTGAGAAGTTCATAATTCCATCCTGCATTATAAAACTCTCAAAAGATGATACTGTCACCCATGCACTTAACACTTGAACACTTGCAAACCTCTCCCTCAAATGAACAGAGTTTTTATTGAGCAAGCACTAATCATTTAGCCTCATCGAATCATGAAACTACATCCCATGTCTCAAAAAGTCAAAGTCTCTGTAGCTGTCTTTTTTTTACTAACACTTATTTTACCTTTTATGTTGCTGTTGGAGTAATTACATTTTCCATTGGCAACCTGCCTTTTATTACTCAACAATGTAGGAATATTTTTTTCTGTAGAAAATGATGATGTCTCTTACCAGTTTTGCAAGGTTTTTTACTCTTGTAGTGAGTACTGACTCACACATTTCACACCAAAACCAGTTCATCTCTTAGACTCAGAACCAAACCCCTTCCTTAATGGTATTATGACAGCGGTATTATGTTGTGCATAATTGCAGATAATTGTTTGAACAGATAAAAGCAGCACCCTCAAATTATGTATACAGCCTCACCTGAGGACAAACTATACTTGTAAAGGTCCACAGTTATCTTGCAGAAACCATGCAGAATCTCTTTACTGTTTCATTTTTTGCATACAAGAAAGCAGCTTGAAAAACATCTATCCTGAATTGACCTGTCATGAAATTACAAAGCCAAGACATCTTTATTTGGCCGTTTACATTTTTATGCAGGCATATTTTTGTTATTAATGTAGAGTATGTAAAGGTCTGGTTTTACTTACTTACTTGCCTGTAGTGAGCCCAGGTCAGCTTTAGCCTCTTCCGGGTCCAACAGACCTGTTCCCCGGTAGGCCTCTCTCCACTGTGGTTCCTTAGCTCCAGATGGCGTCATAGCTGACTGACTTGCCCCGGTTATGGAGCCACTGTCCTCACTCTGATTCCCCACTGCTTCTACCTGAGCTCTCCCCTTAACTCTCTTGTCCAGGTGATTCGTCCCCCTGCTTTGTGCACTCTGACCAAAATACACATACAGGAGTAAGATGTGAGTCCGCTCAGAAAAAAAAGAACCCAACAACCTGTGCATGCAATTGGTCATCTTTATGATAATGGGGCAGATGCTGATCATGGCTACTTTACATAGATAATTTTAAATAGTATTTTATTATTCTGTGTAGGAATGTATATAGGCCTATAACTTGCCACACTCACATTCAAACATAAGTATATAGTATATAGTCATAAATTTGTCAGCTCTGCGTTGCCGTACAGCAAAGGATGTCTACCTCCAAACATGCAAACCCACTCCTATGTAATTATAAATAGCAATTTCTAAGGCAAGGCAAATATAAAGATTGACATTTTCAGTTCATGGGTGATAATAAATAGCATACATGTAGATTATATATACAACATATACCAGTAAATCCCTGTAGTTAGTATACACTGTGCCTTTAAATGTTTTAATAAGACAAAAAAAACATTTTTTTTCTTTCCGTCACCATTTGTAAATGTTAAGCATAATCATATTGTTTCTTAAACGTCACTTGTTATGTAATCGGTAATCTAGTGCTGACTCTACTTCAGACTGGATGGTTTACGGTTTAATGTTTGTTAGTATTCAGAACAAATACATTCTAAGATAACCAAAGAGTGCTTCTCTCTTCCAAAATGTTAGTGGTAAACATCGCTAAATTGTCACAATATTGTGTTGTTCAGAACGACAGTGAAGTCATTAAGAAGCTTACAGGCGTTCTGTCAGATTAGGTTTTTTCTCCTTCTAATCCTGTAGATTACCACTGCACAAGCCTGCTGGCTGTGAGTCCTTCGTTGCTCTATGTGGGTTCTTTATATTGATCATTTTTTTTGTAGCCACCACATTGTTGAGTTAAGTTAACTAAGACTAATGAACGCTGTTACGGAGAGTTTGAAGATTTTGTAGATTTTGAAGAGCTGCATGCAGAAAAAAAAAGCTTAAAAAGATCTCATATGTAACTGTCTAAATTAGGAATGCAATGATGTGGATTGTATAAAACATAGCATGGATTCTTGAATATTTATATAGGCCTTATTTTGTTTAAATAAAGAATAGGTACTGGTGAGAACAGCAACCCTGCCCCTCAGTGGATCATCGGCTGAGCAAAGAGGATAACTCATTCTTCGGACTAATGCAGATGGTCTCCATCGCTCAGTGAAATGGAGACAGAACCGTGTTGTGAAGAGCAGAGGGACTGTGTATCGGATCCCACAGAGCCTCAGATAGCAGACGGCATTTCTGAACTCACAGAGAGCAACTCTCTGACCAAGCTGCCTTGTGGGCCTGCAGAGGAAGGTGAAGAACTGGGTAAGAAAGAACCGTCTGAAACTGAGAGCCATGCAGTGGAGAGTAAATCCACTGAGATAAAAGGCTCAGCTAACTGTGAGCAAGAGAGAGAAAAAGCAGAATGCAAGATAGAAAAGAAATTAAGAAAAACAAATAGCTGGAAGATGGTTCGATTTCAAGACCCCTCGACAGAAGAGGACGTGGTGGAAAGGGACAGCTCAGCGGAGATTCTCTTTCCAGAATATGCCGTTGAGGAGTGGACATCCACTCCGTTTGAGGACCTGTTTATGGCAGAGGATTGGGAGAACATCACAGGTGAGAACACATGCATTAACAAACATGGCCTCTAATTACACATATCTACAATTATAATATTAAAAGTCTTAACATCACCTGTTTAACTGCTAAAATCAGCTGTAATAAATGGCCGTTGTAAATTCTGAGTCTTATCTCAATGCTTTACTCTTTGCTTTTACATAGAGGATGGGATGTTGAGGAAGAAAGTTCTGGAACCAGGAGACATACAAGTCCCACACTCCACCTGGGGTCAGGAGGTCACTGTGAAGATGCAGGGTGTTCTTGAGGACCGTACAGTGGTGGAGAAGGACTGCAAGCTTGTCTTTGTCATTGGAGAGGGAGACGTAATACAGGTGATATTCAAATGCTTTTCCTTAAACATTCAACTGGTGTGTGTTACCTCATACATCCCAAACAGAAAGAAAGTCAACAAATCTATTCTTATCAGCTAATAATGCAAATAAACTCACGTAGGCAGTATGGTTGCCATCTTAATCTTAGTTGCATGTTTTCCTGCTGGAACTATTTAAACCCGGATATAACAAAAGGACTAACTAGGACGGACAGGACAAAAAAGTATGAGCTGCTTATTTATAAGGGTTCCAAGGCATTCTCCCATCTGCTGCAATCATGCCAATTGTCTGTGACCCCAATTTTGGTCACTTATTTATTTTTTCTGAAAATCAACTCTACTGGTCATCCTTCACAACTTTCTGTGGTTCTATTGAGAAATATTCAGTGAAAAGTATCCAAAGGTGTTTTCTACTTTAACTAAACAATGTGAATTATGTTTTTAAGATTATTTTAAACTTTTTTTTTTTAAATTGTGAATTATGTTATTTTTTCCATTTGCTGAAATGCTTTTGGTTGGTTAATCGTTCAACAATGCATCAGAAAAGAACAGTGTTTTTCTAAAAATCTCTTTACCATGGCCTTTTCTGCTCCCTTACTTAATAACACATCTAAAAGTGCATGCCTTTATTTATAGTTTCCAAGAAAGATGTGTCTAAGGTGTTAAAAGGCTCTAATGATGAAGGAAAAGCCAACAAACCCATGTCCAAGGTGTAAATGGACTTTGAATGTGTAATCTGTTTGAAGCAAGAATTTCAGATGTTTTAAAAATAGAGGTTTAGATAACTAAATATTTTTCCATACTATGTCAATTGTTGTCAACTGTGGTTGTAAAAGAGTAAAATGAATTTATATCATTAACAGCTATATGTACTGAATCTAATAGTAATTTTGTAGCAGCTAAAGACCAATTATTTGTTGATAAATTATATTGAAAAAGAAAAGTGTCATTTATTAAAATCTGAAAATCATAAACCACTGTTTCTGTCAGTTAACTAAGATAATCAATACATAAAGCCTACATGTGTTTTTAAAACAATTATCTTATAAACTAGATGTGAAAAACGGCCATTAAGCGTTCCAAGTAATGTGTTTCTTGACACCTGTAGGCTCTAGAGGAGTGTGTCATGTCAATGCAGAAGGGGGAGATCACATTACTGCTGGCAGATTCCCAGTATGCCTATGGACTTCTGGGAAGGTAAGGACTTTCCACTTGCTTTTGATGATTGTATTCTTACAACTTAGGAAACATGCTCAGAACAAGCTCAACAGGACTTATGCACTTATTTTTTATTGGACAATTACAGCATTAAAATATAATCTTCAGCCTCTTAAACCTGTTGCTGTGGGGGCAGTCTGTGCATCATGGGTTAGTGGGGTTAATGGAGCATAAACAGGAGCAGATGGCTTCCTCTGAACACCATTCAGAGGCAAACTATCAGTTGTGTGTCTGTAACCTCCTAACCTATGGGGGGACCCTACTCGTATTACAGCCAATGGCTTGGGTTTATAACCTTTGCACCAGTGAAGAGCCAGTGTAAACGCAGAAAGCTTTCAGAAGCCGCTGTCTAAGACCTGTTCTTAACAGTTAAAGTGTTTGCTGAGGGAGAGAAACACATTTCATATCTAATAAAATACAAATCACTGATAACATAATGCTTTACGTCATTTTGCATAAACGCTTCATAAAACCATTTAATTGAAGAGATTTGATGATTTATTTGCTTTTTGCTGCTTAGATAGAGAAGAATTACAGATATATATTTTCTGACTTTGATATAATTTAGCAAACATTTCCACAGACCTAGACTTAGACAGATTTTATTTGTCATTTTGTGTACACAAGTGTAAAACAAAAAGATATTACGTTTGGAACAGCTTTCTGGACAATTTAATCTTTTTAAAAGTGCAGCCTTGAAAAATAGTTTAAAAAAAAGGATTTCCTATTCTTTTCTATTCTGTTTAATTCTATTCTCATCATTTTTGAAAAGCACTATGTCTATCCCGTATGGTAATAATAGGATGATTATAGTTTATTTATCGGAAAAGCTGCATTGACTCCAATTTGTTTACCAAAATGTTATTATAACAATAAAAAAGTGCAGAATTCCTGGCTAGATTTACTGTACAGTATGATCTATGCTTAGCTTTACAAGCAAAAAGGAAAACAGACTGTTTCAGAAAACGATAAAAACATTCCAACATCGAAGTAGTTTTTGGTAAGCCTTTTGTTTTTCTTTTATATGAAAAAAACTCTTTCTGCGTCTTCTGAGTGAGGCACATTAGGTTCTGTTTGTATTGCTGACACTCTGCAAAGAACACGGCCTGTGAGATGTCGAGAATCTGTCTTTATGTCGTGTGTTGAGCAGGAGGCAGCAGGAGGCTGGTTAATGATTGTTTTGATGCCACTGATTAGAGTTGTGTGCTCTGTGTATTCAAACCTTATTTGAACCACAGGGTAGAAAGTCAGAGCTTCGTGACTGCTCCTCCAATATGATTCATTGACTGACAATGTCGGTTACCCTTACCTGTATTGTTTTGGGTAACTGCATTTTGTTTTCAACACTGTCAGCTATTCAAATGTGAATTAAGCCATATTCTAGGTTGAAATCTTTTTAGTTTTTATTTAATTTCATGTTTGTAATCACTACAGCTGTTAGTTTAACAGGTTAAAACAGGTTGGTCTTAGTTGGTGCAGACTGCTAAAACAGTCCATCAAATATATGGTAATACAGTATGATATGCAAAGAAAAAAATACATGAAGGAACAGATGTAAATTTTGACTGTGGATTGAACAAGCTCAGTATGTCTGTACTGTAATGTGACAGACAAGGAGACAATGAGAGAAAATCTCATTGACCCGTCTTTGTTCTCTGGCAGATGCACTGATTGAACTTTGTCAATCCTCTGCTGCAAACAGGGCTGTTAAGAGTACTTGAAGGAGTATAAAGCTGGTATGAATCATCACTGCAGTGAGCAGTGGTCTGTAGCTCAGTGTCCTCGTTATGTTGGCTGCACTGTCAAGGATGCAGAGACTCCTGGAGAAGGTGGGAGCAGTAACTTGATCACCATACAGCAAACATAGTTATCTTAACAAAGTGATGGATGTGCAGCTATTTACTTGGATGGATAGTTGACCCTTCTGTGACATTAGTATGTTGCTCTCATTCGAGGAATATGTTTTAAAGTATTTTTCCCCTTTATATCCCTTTCTACACTTTGTCATGGTACAGGTACAACCATCAATACTTTTTATTATGATTTTATGTGAAATAGAAATACACAGTAATACATATTTATTAAGTAGAATAAATATTAGTTTTAAATGTTTTACTAGGAAGAGATGCGCTGTGGATTTAATTTGTTTTGAGTCCTGATTCTGAACCAATTTATTGTAAATTCAGTCTGCCACAATTTCAGTTTAAAGTCTTGTTATTGTCTGTACTTTTCTTTTTGAAGGGGGCACAACAGTCTTAAAGGGGGTCACAGGCTATGAAAAGGATTTTTTTCCCCCACGAAAAATCCTTATCAACTGGAGTTTATAAATTTCAATTGGATATCATTTGGATACATGTGCTGTGCTAATTCACAGCACATGTCCTCTCAAGACACTTTACAATTCACACAGTCAGATTGATTCAAAGTTTTCTATCTAAGGAAAACCTGTTGATTGCATCAACTAATTGACACAAAGGCAATCCATCACACTAAGCATGATTGTAGCAAGAGTGGAGAGGAAAAACCGGTTTTAACAGGAAGAAATCTCTAGCAGAACCAGACTCAGTATGAGAGGCCATCTGCTGAGGGTGACTGGGGTTCAAGGAGACAGAAGCAGAGATAGAAAAAGAAGCAGAGATACAAAAGCAACTGTAAACAAGCTCCACAGGTGGCCCCGTCCAGG